TTGGTGCATATTCGGCATTAGAGAGAATTACCGAAATGGTTGATTACATTGATGCTACAGCTTCTTCTCATTCGAGAGCTTTTATTGTTGAAGTTATGGGTAGACACTGTGGATGGTTAGGTTTGATGTCGGGTCTTGCGACTGGAGCTGACTTTATTTTCATTCCTGAAAGACCACCAAAGGCAGGACAGTGGCAAGACGAATTAAAGGATGTTTGCTCAAGACATAGACAAAAAGGTAAAAGAAACACTACTGTTATTATTGCAGAGGGGGCAATTGATGATGATTTGAATCCAATTACTCCAGATCAGGTTCAAAAAGTTCTTGTTGCATTAGGTTTAGATACCAGAATTACTACCTTAGGCCATGTTCAAAGAGGAGGTACAGCCGTAGCATATGACCGTTTGTTAGCAACATTACAGGGTGTTGATGCTGTTAAGGCTGTATTAGAATTAACTCCTGACGACCCTTCTCCTATGATTGGTAGTTTAGAAAACAAGATCGTTAGAAAACCTTTAATCGAAGCAGTTAAATTAACTAAGTCTGTCGCGACTGCTATTGAAAATAAAGATTTCGACAAAGCTATGAGTTTAAGAGACTCTACTTTCGACGATGCATATCATCACTTCTTATCATCCTCAATATATGATGATGGGCTGAAAATATTACCAGAAGCAGAAAGATTGAATATTGGTGTCGTTCATGTTGGGGCTTCCTCTTCAGGTTTGAATGCGGCAACGAGAGCTGCTGCCTTATACTGTATTTCTAAAGGTCATAAATTATTTGCTATTCAAAACGGTTTTAGCGGATTGATCAATGAAGGTGAAATAAGAGAATTAAGCTGGTTAGATGTTGAAGGATGGCATAATAAGGGTGGTTCGGAAATTGGTACTAATAGATCATTACCAAGTGAAGATTTTGGTAACGTTGCATATTATTTCCAAAAGTACAAGCTTCAAGGTTTGATAATAATCGGTGGCTTTGAAAGTTTTACAGCTTTGCATGAATTGGATGTAAAAAAACAAGAATATCCTATTTTCAATATTCCAATGGTTGTTATACCTGCAACCGTGTCTAATAACGTGCCAGGTACAGAATATTCGTTGGGTGGAGACACCTGTATGAATCAATTGCTTAAATATTGTGATGCGGTGAAGCAATCAGCGTCTTCATCCAGAAGAAGAGTATTCGTGGTAGAGGTTCAAGGTGGTCATTCAGGGTTTGTTGCCTCATATTGTGGTTTAATCACTGGATCATTAGCTACATATACCCCTGAATCAAAGGTAGACTTGAAGACTATACAAGAGGACATAGATCTCTTGTACGAGGTTTTCGAAGATGACAGAGGTGAATACAACAACGGGAAAATGATTATAAGAAATGAGCAAGCTTCTTCTGTGTATACTACCGATCTCATTGCCGACATAATCAAGGAATCTGCCGGCGGAAGGTTTGAAACAAGAACTGCCGTTCCCGGTCATGTCCAACAAGGGTTTACTCCTACCTCCATGGATAGAGTAAATGCATGCAGATTTGCCGTGAAATCGTGTCAATACATCGAAGACTGGAACACGAAATTAGGAGGCTTGGTTCGGGACTTGGATGCCACCAAAACGAACAGAAAAACTCGTTCTGATGTCAAAAACAGTATTAAACACATTCTTGAAGAGCAAAACGGCGAAAATTCTGCTGTAGTGCTTGGAATACAGGGTGCCCAAATTAAATTCAACTCCGTCCAAGCTTTATTCGCCAAAGACGCTAATATTCCCTTAAGAAAGGGCAGAGTGGTCCATTGGACAGAAATGATCGAAGTGGCCGATATGTTAAGCGGAAGACTCTTATTAAGAGAAAAAAAGCACTGATCCACGCCGCAATCTAAATTGTCCTATTCCTCATAGCTTTTTTTATCATGTTTACATCGTCCATATCGTATTTACATCGTATTTATATCTTATTTATATTTCCTTTATATCCATTTACATCTGCGTAGATTCTTTTATCCTAGATCCTACAGAGACATCCAATGCGTCCGCACTATTTTTGCACCATTACACCGTATACTGTCATCATGACTATGTCTTAACCTAATTATGTAATCCAATCATTCTCGCTGCTTGGCGCGGCTGGCTTTGCTCGTACCACGTCATACCCTATCATAGACCATGGAATGCTACTTAGTAAGGATCGACATTTATCGCATAATAGGTTGACAAATGCAAATCGAACACAGTGTCAATATTTAGCTCGACGAAGATAGTCGTACTTCTCGGCTACAAAAATTACTTGTTATAGAATTGCCGCATTACATGAGGTGATGCCAGTGAAGAACTTGCTACAGATATTCACCAGAATGACATTAATGGCAAGTCGTAGTGTTGTATAGATGATAACATGTCTAAATATTTCAATGATATATACTTTTATGTATGTGTACGGATGTATATAGACGTATGCAATATGTAGATAATAGTGTGACCATACACTGTTCCGTGATTGTCATGTTTATGAAGGGAGAATATATGAAGGAATGAGACGATGCATTGTTTTCCAAATTTTTATCTCATCCAGCTATTATTGCTACTTAAACCAATTGAATTACTGATATTATAATAATTTAACTTATTTTGATATAGAAGATATAGTATAGGCAGTATGACAGTTGATGCTTCGAATTGGTTTGAACCACTTCCTATTGCTGATTTTCAATACATTAACAAGCTGACAGGCGAAAATGTGCCTAAGGAATTACCTATTGGAGACCCGATTGGTGGATTAGACGTTAGATGCGGACCTATCTTGAAATTAGTCGGCACATTAGAGGATAATGCTAAGAACTACAGAGCTACTATCTTGCTTGTGACAAAAGTTGAGGGCAATGACGCGGTGCAACCGAAGATTACGTATCAAATTGGGCCTGCTGTGGATGAGGGCAATAAGCCTAGCTTAGCAGTGGGCGAATTTCCAGGAACTAATTTCTTTACAGAGAACGGATTTCAATTCTGGAGATTTAATGTTGATTTGACATTGGTCGATTACGAACAAAAGATCAAGTATTTCATCAATGATTGCTACAAACAGTCATACCAGTTTTTCGTCCCATCACTCGAGCAATCTATGAATGTGATCTCCTATTCATGTAATGGGTTTTCTTTGGGATGTGATCCAAAGGAATACAAGTCGTCACTTTGGTTCGATGTTTTGCAAAAACATGCTAAGCAACATTACCATGTCATGTTAGGAGGAGGGGACCAGATCTACTCTGATTCTATTAAATTGCACTCCAAGAACTTGGAAAAATGGTTCAGCGAAAGAAATCCTATGAAGAAGAGAATGATGAAGGTGAACGATGAAACTATTCTTGAATTTGAAGACTATTACTTGAACCACTATATGGCGTGGTTTGGTAAGGGTTTCTGGGAAGGTAAAAGTGGTAGAACATACCAAACATTATTTCCTATGACGATGTCTCAAATTCCTTCTGTGAATATTTATGATGACCATGATATCATAGATGGTTTTGGATCGTACCATAATTCCACTATGACTCAAGATTATTTCAAGACTGTTGGTAACGTCGCATACAAATATTACATGTTATTCCAACACCATATGTCACCCCATGAGGATGTTCATAATTCACCTAAAGCTGAGCCTTCCTGGATTTTATCAGATACCTCAGGTCCTTATATTAATCAAAAAAACCATTCGAACTACGTTCGATTAGGTAAGGAAATTAGTTTGCTTGGTTTGGATTGTAGAACTGAAAGAAAACTAAATGAAATCGTCAAACCTGAGACTTACAAGAAGGTATTTGCACGTTTAAAGAGCGAATTCAAGAACGCGCCTGAAGTCAAGCATTTGTTAGTCATGTTAGGTGTGCCTATTCTTTACCCTCGTTTGGTTTGGTTAGAATGGATGTTAAGTTCGCCTGTTTTGAAACCAATTAAGGCATTAGCAGCGAAGGGAGTAATTAGCAAAGGGTTGGTAAATGAATTTGATGGCGGTGTTGAAGTATTAGACGATTTAAACGATCACTGGTGTTCTGCAAACCACAAGCGTGAAAGAAATTATTTGGTTAAAAAGTTGATTGATTTTGGTGCTTCACATGGTGTCAGAGTCACTATATTATCGGGTGATGTTCATTTGTGTTGTATCGGTAGATTAAAGTCTAAGATCCACCACTATCCAAACTTCCATGTTTTAACCGATTACCCTGAGGAAATCGAGAAAGAAAATATTGATGTCCTTAAGCACCCAGAATTAGATCCAAGATTAATTTTCAACGTTACGTCTTCGGCAATTGTTAATGCTCCTCCACCAGATGCGATGGCTACTTTGTTAAAAAAGAGATCAAGAATTCATCATTTCAATAGAAACGCTGATGAAGATGTTGTTCCCCTTTTCCTTGAAAACCCAAATGGAAAGCCTAGGGAGAATCATCTTTTCTTAAATAAGCGTAATTGGGCTGATTTAATCATTGCTAAACAATCGATCTACAAAGAAGATGTTGACACCCATATTCGTAAATTCCCTGCACCTATCTCAGATGCTAGTCAGGATAAATTGAAAAACAAACAGATCGATTCTACCCATGTTACTTATCCTTTGAACTCGGATTCATTGGTGGCAACATTACATGTGGAAGATGATCCAAATGATTTTGAATGTAAGACTGCGGGCTACGAAGTGTTAATTCCAAGGTTATCTGCCAAATTCGAATTAGATAAAGTTGATATCAAGCACTTAACTTAATTTTACATATCAGAAATTGCTTCTTATGCAGTGTATTATTATTCTCTATTTTATTTCGTACATGTTTTAGATCTATGTAAAATTAGAAATCTTTCTTATCTATATTACTAAATTTGTAGATTTGTGCGGCTTGGATATAAAAAGCTTATCAAGATTTACGATCAATGAAAAAAATCAACATCAACATCGCTAAATTATACATAAATTTCTAAATAGTGAACAATCGAATTGTATTTACTAAAGACCAAATGTCAGCTAAGAGAAGCAATTCAGAAGGAAATGATCTGAATAAGAAACGATCGCAATTGCTTCCACAAATGTCACGGATTTCTCGATCAATTTCAGCATGTCAAAGATGTAGGGTCAAAAAGATTAAATGTGACCAAAATTTTCCAAAGTGTACGAAATGTGATAAAGCAGATGTTGATTGTGTTGGCTTGGATTCAGTTACAGGTAGGGAAGTCCCTAGATCTTACGTCATGTACTTGGAAAATAGGATCATGCAATTAGAAGAAAAAATAACCGGTGGAGGAATATGCCCCATTGATAATAATAACGAAGTAACGGAGGAAGCCGAACCTCGACATGATGATGATCCAATAACTAATTATACTGAAGATAGTAAGTTAGGTATACTTCCACAAGTGCTGAGTCAACAGGTACCATTTGAGAATATTGATGCATCAATATTCGACGGTTCAGGTATTTCGTTTTCAAAATTGATGTTCACTGCTATAAGGACTCACAGCGGGGGAAAAGAAAAAGATAAGATAAATACAATAATGGGTTTTGAAAATACTAGTGCATTGCCTGCTATATTGCCTCCAAAAATCACTGCTCAGGAATTTTTAAAGATTTTTTTTTCACAATCAAACCCCCAGTTACCGATATTTCATAGGGAAGAGTTCATACGAAAATATTTCATTCCGATCTATGGTAAATTAGACGAGGACGTAATACTAGGCAATAACTATACATCGATAAATGTATCATTGTTTCAAGGTGCAGAGAATATTAGGGATGAAGACACATGGTTTTTTCAATATAAACAAGAATTTCAAAAACGACTACAAACTACCAATAATACCGTGGACCCAAATGAAATATCCAACACCATTGTTCCCCCAAAGAAATTTCATAAAGCATTATATTTCTTAAGTATGGCTTTTGCTATTTCTTGTTCCGTTCATCATCTACAATATCATTCGAATATATCAAACTCTTTTAAAATAGCAGCAAACAGATACTTTGAAATAGCAAGTTCTTCGGAGGATAAATTGGAGTCATTGCAAAGTATCCTATTACTAACATTATATTCTCTTATGAGACCAACTGTTCCGGGGGTTTGGTACGTTCTTGGGTTAGCATTAAGGGTTTGTGTAGATTTGGGATTGCATAAGGAACCCTCAATCCAAAATTCAAATTCAATAGACTTTTTCACCCAAGATAAAAGAAGACGGCTATTTTGGTGTACATACGCATTGGATAGACAGATTTGCTTTTACTTAGGCAGACCTATCGGTATTCCTGAGGAGAGTATTGATACTCCATTTCCTTCTGTCTTAGATGATTCATTCATAGGGAACAATAATTCGAAAGACCCGCCACTTCTTAAAAGCGATTCACCGACATATAAATCTATATCATTAGCATTCTTCGAAATGAGACGAATTCAAAGTGAAGTGCAGAAAGTTTTATATGAAGACTCCGATATACCACGTAATTTTTCTGATTTACATGAATGGAAATTAGATATAATTGAAAAATTGAAAAATTGGAAGCTCCATTTGCCTAAGACTGAAAGAGACATGAATTGTGATTTTAACGTAGAGTTTTTTAACTTGAATTATAATCATACAGTATTAATGATTCATGGACTTTCCCCGAAGAATAATAAGTTATCGGTTCCTGATTTCATACGACTTCAAGACTCTTCGAAAGAAATAATACATTGTTATAACCAGTTACACGCAAGCAAATGCATCAACTATACATGGGTTACAGTTCATAATTTATTTTTGGCCGGGACCTGCTATTTATATGCGATTTACAGCAGTGACGATGTTTGCAAACAGAATGGTTTACATGAAGTGAAAATTGTATCACGAGAATGTATTAATGTTTTGAACTCATTAATTGACAAATGTGCAGCTGCTTATAATTGCCGTCACAGTTTTGAGGTACTTACTGCTGCAGTAGTAAAACTTAGATATAATGAAATAATGCATGGATTTGATAGCTATATTCCTACCGCTCAGCAAATTGCTAAAAATCAACCCGTGGGTTACGTTAATTCAAATCTTGACAACTTGGTTCAGAACTTAGAATCAAGATCAGAATCAGAGGATAATAGCAAGCTCATTGAGAAACACACACAAATGGATGTGGTAAATAACTTCTTTCATTTTGCATCAAATACCTCCACGAAAGAAGATGAAGTGAATAATGAAAGTGATACAATATGTCAATCACCATCCACGTTTGAATGGATTAGTATCGATAAATCGTCAAAACCAAGCAATAACAACCTTACTGATATACAAAACTCCGGGAATCACTTAAATACTTTCTTCGATAACTTGGACAAGTTACCGCCATTGCCAATTGAGGCAGATGATTACATAAATGACAATAATATGACTGGTAACTCCGACGCTGAACATAATCATCATCCAATACAAGCAGACAACAATAATTATAAATCACAAGCAAGAATGAAGTTATCGGAAAGCCAATATCAAGGTAGTTCTCATGTGCATCAACCTAAAGATAGAAAACAACAATTTGGATTGCCAGATGCTCCAGTAGATTCAATATGGGATCAATTTCTAACATCAGTGACACCTGCTTTTGGATTAAACTCTTCTCTGTTTATGTTGCAAGACAAATCAGAAAATCACGACAAGTATCAACTTTAATAAATTCATAAAATGTATAGTAACTTCAATCAAAATCCTTTAATTTGCTTATCTCCGCCAAAACTTTCACATTATCCTCTGGTATTATAGACGATCCATTAACTGGATAGCATTCAATAACATTGACTTTCTCTCCATTAAAATATCCTACTATATTAACAATTGTGCCAACGCTTATTGACTCAGCATTCATTTTATCCAAAACCCCGAACAAATTTACATTCAACGTGTATGCCTCCGCTACTGGTTCGTCGATAAGGTTGATTTCTGTATGCAATTTGTGTATATTAGGCACTTTACATACTTCAAGAGTAGCAGTCAAATCATCGTATTCTACTACCTGACACAATATTCTAACTCTATGAAGCCTGGATTCTGAAGCCTTAGGAAATTCTAATGACAAAGATAACGGATCTAGTATAAGTTTAGTCATGAAGATGTAACTCGATTAAAAGATCTTTAAGCCCAATTCAGTCTAATTTTATGCGATTTCATATCGCGACGGCAGAAATATTGAATTCTTTTAGTATGTTGCAATGCTTTTGGGCCATAGACGATTCCAATCTTACGTCGCTAATGCATTTAAAGAAGGAGACCTTGCGATTATTCGTCGGCTCAAAAATCCGGCTCAAGCGTACTTAACAAAGCCATTGAAGAAAGGTGTTGTGGTGCAAACTCATAACGGAGAATTTTCTCATGATGATATAATTGGTAAACCGAAGAGAGTTTATCTTCGCTACAAAATGAAGGAGAATAAGAAGGTTAATATAGGAGACGATAAGTTCATTGTCACGGAACCAACGTTGGATGAATATACATCCTTGGTTAAAAGATTGGCACAACCTATATACTCATTCGATGCTACTATGTTGGTCCAGTTGGCAGACATTGATGTAGATTTCCCGAAACTCATAAATGAAACTAGTGAAATGAAGCTTGAAAATCACCCGAAGCACTTTTTGGAAGCCGGTACAGGCAACGGTTCGTTGACTTTGTCAATATGTAATGCTATACATGCAGCTAATGGCTTGGCCAAACATTACAATGATAAGTCGCTCAGGGGTGCAATATTACATTCGGTGGATAGAAATGGGATGCATTCGTCTGTTGGAAAAGCAAATGTAAGTAATTATAAAAATGGAAGATATGTGGATGATGTCGAATTTTACGTTTCCGAAACTCCATCGGCGTGGTTAGAGGAGCATATGCAACAGAACGGAAACGCAGGTCCATATTTGAGTGGAGTTTTTCTTGACTTACCGAATCCTGAAGCGTATTTGCATGATATTGCCAGACATATGAAACTTGAAGCTACTTTAATTGTTTTCTGCCCCTCAGTTACCCAGATCTTGCAGTGCAAAAAACTAATCGAAAATTCAAGACGTATTTCTGCAGATTCCTATCAGAAAAATGACAAACTAATCGATTTAACTTTAACGAAAACTATTGAACTCCCTCCAGGAAATGGTGGAGGAACGAGAGAATGGGACGTTAAAACCGTTTTTACAAGAGATTCAGAAGAAAACGTTGCCATATGTAGACCTAAGGTTGGTTTAAAGGTTGTTGGAGGTGGATTTGTAGGTGTATTTAAAAAATCATCTGTGAATGGTGAAGACTTTAACCTGTTGTTGTGAATAGCTGAAAAATTAAATCCTGTATATACTAATTCTGATGATATCAAAATGGTAAGAAAATTTTGTAAGGAACATTAAACTATACAAGTTAGATTTTGCATGGTGATACAAACAGATGAAGATATTGGAAGAAAGAGATAAGTTCTTGTGTAACTTTGAAGTGGCGGAACATTTGAACAGTATAAAATCCAAATATAATTGGACGTTTAAGGAAGAAGAAAATGATAAAAAGAAAAATAAGAAGCGATTCACCGCATGCGGTTTAAATTTGGAAGAGATTACTAGAGATTTATCGTCATACCTAGAAAATAACTCTAGTTCAATGATAACAACACAAGATGCTTTTAAAGAATTAATGATTCATTTAAATTGCTTAGAACTAATGAAGGTTGAAAAATTACAAATCGTCAACTCGTTACCGAGATCAATGGTTCACTTGTATGCATTAGTGGAAGAGTGTGATCAAAGGTTTAATGAAGAGACCTGTGAAGGTATTATAAATAAAATTAATGATCTTTTTCCTATAGAAGAGCAGGAAGAAGAGGAAGAAGAAGAGGAAGGAGAAGGAGAAGAGAAAGATGACCAATTTGAAGACGCAGAAGACTTACAATAGACATAAATATTATCTTGTATACTAGAATAAATTAATTTTGTTAAAATTAAAATTTAGTTTTATGTACTATTTCTCTATTGAGAATCTAGATGAAATTGCCCATCAACAGTTTCGATAATCCTAAATCACCATCATTAATATCATCGGAGATTTCCCTTTCTGGATCCTCGGGTGTTGTATCTGTATTGCATTCAATACCTTCAGATACATTTCTTTTGCGTTCTTTAATACTATTACCATTATAATTATACCATTGATCTCTTAAATTACCAACCATTTCACTCACATCAGATAAAAGACCCGTAGGGCCGACGGCAAATAGGGATTCAGCATTATCCTTTGAATTAATCCAGCCATGTTCACAATATTCTCCTTCGGTTTCTTCGTTCTGGTTTTCTTTGTCTATATCATCATTCTGTTGTGTTAGCAAGTCTCTTGAAAGTATATCAGAAAGGTCTACTTCAGCATCTAACGAATCAAAGCTTGCTATATTAGGGTCACCTCCGTATAAAACTTTGGGCCTATCAGGCTTGTTATATTTATCTGAAGTATCTATCCCATCTTTGAAATGATTTTGGACTATATGGTCAATTACAGGCCAACCATAAGCATTTGCAAATCTTCTTCTCACGATAATATTATTATGAGCGTCAGGCTTCAAATTAACCAATACTTTTCTCCAACTCATATTCTTATGGTATTCCCTTGCAATTTCTTCTTCTATATGTTCCACATTTTGAGCATCAAGAGATTCCACGAACCTTTGACGTAAGCTTGATTGCTGTGAAGTTGACGATTCGTCATTGTTTGATGAACTTGTTTCATCATCTTTATCTATTGGTGTCTCTTTTATAGTCTGTGTTTGTGACTGTGATTTGGAAACCGGATCCCTTGGTGGTAAATCACTTTCATAATAAACCTTATCATGAACTACAACATTATCACGAGATTCTGGGTTAGTGATATATTTCAAAGATGGCAAAGGTGGTAATATTAAAGTGGTTGCTGCTTCAACAAACGAAGATTTAGGTAATTCATCATAATCGTTATTATTCTCACTGACCTCGATATCATCCTCGTTTGAAGTATTGTTTGACTTGCCTTCTTTCTTCGTTTGAAATCTTTGATATTGAACATCTGGCTTTTTCCTTTGTTTCTGAGGCATGAAATAGGAAAACATGGCTTGTATCGACAGCAGTAACTTCCACTCGTCATTAGTACTACCATCTGCATTAACGTTCAATGATCTATTATCCGGAATCTTATCTGTGGTACTGTTGTTATCAGTATATTTCTTCTTAATATCAGGATTATTCAAAATTTGGGTTAATCCCTTATAATCTAAATATAATAATGCAGAAGTTCTTAATGGTACTATACCATCATTGGCTACGTTCCCATAAACTGTCCTTCGGACGAACATCTTAAGTGTTCTATGAGTAGGACCTGTAGGCAATAATAGTAATAAGGGCTTTGAATCATTTTCTATTAGCTTTAAACCCAACTCTTGACCCGTTTTACCTACCACTCCAGCCAGTAACGCCATTTTCACATACGCCGGATTCTCGTTGACGACACCTAATAAAGGAGAGGCTATTGTGATAAAATTAATAGGTTTAATGCTCTTGAAAAACCATGCAAAGTTGTTTTGCAAATACGCTATTGCAAAAGTTTGTACTAATCCACCCAATGAATGTCCAACGAACGATATTTTTGATACTTTACCTTTATTGAAAGTCTCATTTTTAGTCACCAAGTCAACAACATATTCGGCCACTCTACTTCCTAAATATTTGATTCCTCTTTCTGTCTTACCTAAATTGCCAAAGTAACCTTTAACAACAATATTGTCTTGATTATTTGCTTTATCCATTTGTTCCTTTAGATATAGCATATCAACACTAACGTTAGAATGAAGTCCATGAGTCATTATTACCAAATGTATAGGCTTCTTGGCATCAGGCAATGGCAAGTTCCACAAATCCAACGTATCATGATTTTCTACATTTAGAATTGTCGAAGGCACAAAGGTCCCTATTTTATCACTATTTTTGACATGCTTTTCTGCTAGAGATGCATCATGTAAAATACTCTTAGATGTACCGATAGTAATTTCAAAATTAACGTCTATAGTCTTGTTAAAAATAATCTGCGATATAACATCCACTGTCCAATTATACGAGTCCTTGATCGTATGGCATGATAATTCCACATAGAACGATTGGGCTGGCAATAACTGTGGTTCAAACACTGGTTGGTCTGCGGTTATAAAACATTTCTTATTGGGGTCATACTCTTCAGGTTTACAGTCAACATAAAGAACACATGGACCTGCAAAATATGCTGCTCTTAATGCAATCAGCTCGATATTTTTGACTTTAACCCAAAGACTTTTCGGAAGCTTCATCGCTTTATCACCTTCTTTATCCGAAACATAATGAATTTTAAATCTTTCAATTTCACCGGCCTTAATTCTCCTGATTTCCCTATACAATAGCTTATCCTCTGTTATCTCAGATGACAGCATTGTAAAATATATATAAAAGATCAGAAGTCAAGAGAATTAAATGCAAGTCAGAAGGCTCCATTGATAATTATTGAGCCAAATATACTGCATGTGATCCTATCATACATTTGATAGAAGGCCTACAATTCTATAGCATATACAAATAATAAAATAGAAATATACTAATTGATACATATTGATGTGATGGCAAACAGGGTAGAAGCTCCAGAGTTAGTAAATCGTGAATACCAGCAGCTACAAAGGGATGCACCGAATTTTCAAACACTAGATAAACGAGAAGCTGATGATGAGGACGGAGAGCATGATATAGACAAAATATTCAGCAATGATAGATCTGATAGTAATATTGTGCAGCATCATAGTGAAGTATTGGATCATGAAAATGAATCAGGAATTAGTGGACTACATCCAATAGAATTAACAGCTCATAGTATTTTGAATGCACCATTGGATCACCTTAATGAAGACTTCGAACTGTTGGGTCAATCGCAATACATTCTTTTGACAAGACTTAGGTTGATCGAAGAAAGATTAAAGAGCTTCAAGAAAGTGGTGATAGATGATGGCAATATGACTTCGGAAAAGGAAATCTCCGAAACTTTTAATAAGATACGAGAATTGAAGAAGCGGTTGGGTGTGACAGTTAAATCGTTGGATAAGGTGGAAGCACGAGTAGAGAGAATGAATAAAAAATTGAATATCGATGCAAATGAGTGATACAAGTTAATGTTTATTTATAGATATATAGATATATAGTTTTATGGCGAGAATGTAAGTTAGTTATGGAGCATAAGTAATTCGCTTTTATAACGTTATGAATCTGTATGGGTAGCCCATTCCTTTTATACCAAAGATCGAAAGTAAAACACTGTATAAAACAAAGATTAAAATGCTAAGAACTATAACAGCAATTAATTTTACATGAGAATTCTTAATTTCAGGTGCTCTTTTAATTAACATCACAACCAATAAACTCAAACAACCATAAACAAAAGACATAATTTGAGTTTCAACACCTAATTGATTTTGCTGCTGAGGTACGAAATAGTCAACTTTACCACCTTGATGCTCCATTACAAAGGGAACTCCACGAATTTGGTTAAACATGTAACCAGAAATCAATAATAAAATAGCCACTAATGAAATACCGCTCCATAATATTCTAGACGTGGCGACCATAATGAACTCGGCATTGAACTTTCTAATTAGCATTACCACAACAAATGTAATAAGGGCATTCATGGCTATCCTAGTGTAATCAGGTGGGATATAGATATTGAAAGTGTGTCCAGTAATTTGATTCAACCAAGATTTCAATAAGACTTTATGATCACCTTGGTAGAATTGGTATTCATCGAACTGTTTGACATACTCATTTGGTCTTTTACTTGTAGATGGTGGGAAATGGAATACTTTAGGAATATTATTAAGTTGAAGAGACAGGAAAAAGTTACGGGATTCAGTAAATTCAGAAAACATAAAGTAAACGTTCTTCTTTGGAATAACTGATTCGGTGTCTTCCAATGCTTCCTTACTCAACCCATTTGGATGGTCTTGAATCCACGAATTTCCAATGATCTCAAAGTCTGGTTTGAATTCATTACATAAAACACAATTAATTTTTGGTGATTGCGACGATAACATCACAATCAAATGATAATCTCTCTCTCCATTTAATATATGTTCATAATTTTCATCATTAAGACTAACGACTTTATTTCCTTGGGATTTAACATACTTCGTCATTTCTTCATTAGTAAGTGCAGCCGTCGCAAGGCCAAACAATGAAACTAAGGTCACGCATAATTGAACTATCGAGACTTTCATTTTCAACCTTTATTACCTTTATTTGTTGCAATTGAAAGAAGTTAATCCTTGTCTAAAGTATCGGCTGTTTATAGACACGTCAATACAAAGAAAAGCGTTTATGTTGATCACGTGCGCATACTACATAAAAAGATAATAGTATAAATGTCAATGGAGACCTCTATAAGATGTTGAATTTTCTATTACAGCCAATATCAACCTTACATCGGCCTGATCCCAGTTCGAATCTTTCAACTAGTAATATATAGGTGCTAGGTTTTTGTATATCACAATCAATGAATAAGCCGTAAAGCGAATCATTCCACCCTTCATTTATCTGTATTGGTTGGCTGTTCTCTGCATCAAAAATTGATCCTCTTATGGATGGTCTATAGTCCGAAAGTGATTCTGTATTTTTATTAATATGGTTGTAATGCTTCAAGTGAAAAGTAAAACGAGAATTGAATTGAGTTGCTTTAAAGTAGAGCTTGAATCGGTTTGAACTGTTCCAATCAAACTCCTTTTTTTGGAGAAATAAGCCCAATGATGTGTGAATTTTCGTTATTGATATATTGCTAGGAGATGAGTCATGGATTGCCAATAATTCGAATGCTCCTTTTAAGTCATTATCAAAAGCCGAAACTACTATTTTGTAAAATCCAGGCTG